GTACAGCACTTGTCTCTCTGTGTCTGGCTCTTTTCACTCTTTTCACTGATGCCCTCCAGGTTCATCCACGTTGCCAAAATGTCAGGGTTTCCTTCTTTATCAAGGTTGAACGAGACTCCACAGTGGGTATGTGTACTATTCACATATCCTGCATGTGTTCACATATAAACACACGTTTATATATGTCATTTTTAACTCTATTAATCTTTCAGTGGACACTTAGATTGTTTACATACCTTGGCTGCTATAAATAATGCTTTGTGGGTTGCTGAAAACTCTTTGAGATACTGTTGTGCCCAGGAGTTTCACAAATACCAACTGCCAAATAAGCTGAATTCATAGCAGAGTCCCTTTATTGAAGAGCTGGCCAGCAACTGCCTCAGAGTCCCAATATGTGGTTTTTGAGAGCAGCCCCAAGTGCTTAAGGGGTCGGGTTTTTAAGGCTTGGTCTGCATCCTGGTTGGCACGCAGGCTGCCCAGGTGCATCTGGGGAGGGTAGTAAGTAAGCATTGTACAGAAGCAGAAGTTTGAGGTTAGCCGTACGTCATACGTTTTTGTTTTAATATTTCCCCCCTATACATCTTAGTTTCAGTACTTTCCCTACCTGATATTGTTCAAAGGTTAGTCTGGGGACAGATGGTACTTCCTGGTCTGTTTCCCAGGGATTTAGCCAAGCAAGAAACCGGAAATGAACTAGAAGGAAGAAATCAATTAGTACCTTCTCATTTATCCTGGGAATGAACGAGACTTATTTCATTTCAGTTGAAGCTGGCAGTCTGGAAATTTGCCAGGAGTTAACTGGTATTTTTCCATTATAGCCTAGGCCTGACACCTTTCTGTCTCAGCCTCGGCCCCCTGGGCCTATCAGTGCTGATGTCAACTCCTTTAGATGCATGCCCCAAAGAGGGGCCACTGAATCATGGATTCGTTCTATTATTATTTTTTGAGGAACCCCCATAGTGTTTCCCACATTTGCTATTCCAATTTACATTCCTACCAACCATATGTGAGGGTTCCCCTTTCTCCACAGCCTCTCCGACACTCACCTCTTGTCTTTCTGATAAATTCCGTCCTAGCAGGTGCGAGGTGACATCTCCTTGTGGCTTTGACTTGCACTTCTGCTGTGATTACTGGTGCTAAGCAGGTTTCCAGTGCCCACTGGCTGGCCGTGTGCCTTCCTTGGGAAAATTTCTTTTCAGCACCTTTGCTGCTATGCTTCCCTGCGCAGCACTATTGCTGTGGACAACCCAGTATTTGCGGTTATTCATTTACATTTGCTTGTACAGCTTCTTGGCGTCAGTGACTATTTGTGTTTTGATCACTAATATGAGGTGTCTATAAAGTTTGCATGCAATTTGAAATAGTTGGTACGGGGCTGGGTGCGGTGGCTCATGCCTGTAACCCCAGCTGCCCTGGGAGGCCAAGGCAGGAACATGGCTTGATCTCAGGAGTTGGAGACCAGTCTGAGCAAGAGCGAGACCTCGTCTCTGAAAATAGCTGGACATTGTGGTCGACATCTGTAGTCCCAGCTGTGTGGTAGGCTGAGGAAAGAGGATTGCTTGAGCCCAAGAGTTTGAGATTGCAGTGAGCTGTGACACCACAGCACTCAACCCCAGAACGACTGAGTGAGACTCTGTCTCCAAAAAATTAAAAAATATATGTAAGTATGAACCCCCTATATATCCTCTCCATACTCTGAAAGCCTGGCATAGCATAGGCCTGATACATCAGGTGTCTGTAAAGTTCATGTGCAATTTAAAATGATGTGTCGCATATGTTGACATTTTTA